CCTGCTGAAAAAGGCAACTCCACAGCTCTTCTGGACCAGCAAAGACCAGTACAGGTCATACTGGTTCACGCCATAGAACAAATAATAGGGGCATCCATAGCAAACAAGGAGAACTAAAGACCACATCTATTTCCTTTCTCTTGGGTCTACATAATCATCAAAAGTCCAATAAAATCTTGTAGGTGGATGAGCTCTTAAAATTAGTAAATTATATTTTCCAGTTGGATTCAAAAGCAATATATCTTTTAAAAAATAAAGAAATTTGCTAAAATTTCCTGTCATGTTTCATGAGAGAAAATAATATTCATCACTCAGTTCTCACAAGGACAAGGGGAGTGCTTTTTATGCTCTGGAGGAAAAGGTACAAGAGAGTGACGGTCCATTATACACTTTCTACCTTCCCTGACACATAATGCAATGCCTTTATGTCTGTAGTGTTAGAAGGGCTTATTATATCTCTCTACAGCACTATGGAGATATTGGGAGGAAAGTTTCAGTTCTAGCCAACATAGAATAGCCCCATTCCTTCCAGATCCTCCCTCTTAAAATTTAACAAGGAAGGAAGTATCTGAAAGGTGAAAATAAGTTGAATGAACTTAGGCCCTCAGAATGAGGAAAGACAGGGTGGTAATTTCTCTGGATTTTCTTATTGTGTGCCACATACACCTTGCAGAGAGCTGCAGAAGCCTCCAACCCAGAACCATCCATAGGCAGAAGTAATTAAAAGGCTCCATGAAAAACTTGTTCCCCTAAGGCAGGGAATCTGAAAAAGGGAGGCCTAACAACAAAACCCTTTTTTTGGCAATTCTATCCTTCTCTAGCCAAACACTAACAAAAAGCTTCTCTTTCTTAATCTGCCACAAACTGTTTTAGTAGAAAGTGGAGAACTGATTTTCTATTCTCTCCATTGCAGAAGCACATATACAGTGATTCTTCTTTTTTTTTGGGGGGGGGACAGGGAATCTGAAAAAGGGAGGCCTAACAACAAAACCCTTTTTTTGGCAATTCTATCCTTCTCTAGCCAAACACTAACAAAAAGCTTCTCTTTCTTAATCTGCCACAAACTGTTTTAGTAGAAAGTGGAGAACTGATTTTCTATTCTCTCCATTGCAGAAGCACATATACAGTGATTCTTCTTTTTTTTTGGGGGGGGGAGGGTTCACTATAGGGTGCGTGCGCTCGCCAGACAGACAGAGGGAAACAGAGAGACAGAAAGCGAGAAATCACCCCCCAGGGGGGGATGACCATGTTGCAATCTCTTCTCCTCCATTCTCCTCTTGGGATCTTGGGCACGTACACACATGCTCCCGGCGTGAGTTTTAAGCCACCGGGTCCAGGATGTGAACCGCGGTCGACTACATGGGAGTCCAGTGACATAGCCATTATGCTAACTGCTGGTCCCTATACTGTGATTCTTCTGTAAGATGCCAAGCCTCCACATATACCCATCCAGAAACTTCATAAGAGAGTTTGAGAAGGGGCTACTCATCACTATATTTTACTCCCTTACTTGTCACCATTTTCAGGAACTGAACTTCCACTCCTACCAAGCATTAATGAACAAAAGTGAGAGTCAGATGTAGTAATTATTCCATTCTCCATCATCTCCCCAAAATCAGAGAGGAACTAGACCTCCACACTTACCAAACAAGGAGGTGGGAAGCAGGGCTAGTTCTGTTTCCCAAGAAATAGTGAGATATGTACATCTAAGATTCAAGAAAGTCAGTGAATGCAAATAGTATAAGCCCAAATAAATTTACATCAAGATATATTATAATAAAACTGAAAATTAAAGACAAAGAAAAAATCTTAAAAGCAAACAGAGAAATGACACATTAACTATAGGGGAAAAACCAAATCAAATGACAGAAGATTTCTTATCTAAAACCACAGAGGCCAGAAGGAAAGGCTGAAAGAAAAGATATGTCAACTATAAATCTGTATCTAGCAAAAATATTCAGGAATTAAGTGAAATAAAGACATTTTCAGATGAAGAAAACTAAGAGAATTTGGTGCAAGAAAGCATATCCTTTAGTTTATGACAACTCAGCAAATTCACACATCTACTAGGTGAAAGAGCTGGGATTGAAATGTACCCTGGCTTGCTTCCAAAGTTTAAGCCCAAGCCATAGTACACTTTTTGTGTTGAAATTTTGCTTATAAAATCAAGTGATATAGTGAAGTTTTGTTTTATTTCTTGAAAAAATTTTAAGGTAGAACATAGACACAAAATGCTAAATGTAGACCTCAGCTAAATAACTTGAACCAACTGCTAAGAACTATTAGGATAAAGTTAAGCTGTATTGTGTTATTGTCCAAGTGTCTGGCTCTATTTGCTGAAAGTTTTCTTAGACGTGTCAAGTCACTCTTGATTATTTCAAAAATCTAAAATACAAGGACCAGCAGATGGAGTAATGGGTACATCACTGGACTCCCATGTAGTCAAGAGCAGTTTGAGTCCCAGACCGGGTGGCTTAAAACTCACGTCAGATGCCTGTGAGTGCATGCCCAAAATCCCTAGAGGAGAATGGAGAAGAAAGGATTGCAGCATGGCCATCCCCCTTGGGGGATGATTTCTCACTGTCTGTCTCTCTGTCTCTCTCTGTCTCTCTGGCAAGCGTAGGCACACTATAGCAAAAATCTCTCTCTAAAAAAAATCAAATATACAATATAATGCACTCTTTCAAATATGTGAAATTTTCAGTATTGCTTGCCTTATACTTTCTTTAATTCTCAGCTCATAGGATATAGATCCAGTGAACATCAGCAGGTAGTCCATTTCATTCCTGGTTGATGATACCTAAGCTATTCTGACTAAAAGGATTACAATGTTAATGATGTCTGCTTTCCCACAGGACCTTTGATAATGACCTACCTCTCTCATAGCTCTTATTCAACAAGAAGCCTTTTCTTCACCATTCTTATATCACATGGACCTATACACTTGATCCCAGATAACTGGACCAGGTATATGTACAGGATCAATATAAGTCAAGCCATATTGTATCCCAGATCAAAAACTGAGGTTGGACAATGACGTTTCCATTTTCAGTAATAACATGTAATGAATACCAATTACTGTGAACTTAGTATACACTTGCTGTAGCCACTCTAAAATGGAATTTTGAAAATTCAGATTTGGGGAAAAGTGGCAGACAGATTTGAATTAAGAAAGACTGTAGATCCAAAAATCACACACATGTGCGTGTGTGCCCATAATCCTGACAGGAGAGAAGAGGAGAAGAGATTGTAATATGGCCATCCTCCAGGAGCAGCAGTGGGGGGTGGTGATTTCTATCTTATTCTCCAGCAAGTGACTGTGCCCCATAGCAAACTGAAAAATAATAATAATAAAAAGAAGACATAGATGTATGTGTGTTGGCTATCCTTTTTTTTTTCAGGATTAATAGCAAAATTTTAACATAATAAACTTACGGAAGCTTAATATATTTTTTAACATAATAAACTTAAGGAAGCTTAATGTATTTTTTGAGAGGTTTTTGCTGTAGGGCACATATGCTCACCAGAAAGAGAGAGAGAGACAGAGAGACAGAAAGCAAGAAATCACCCCCTCCCCAGGGGGGACAGCCACACCGCAATCCCTTCTCTTCCATTCTCCTCTTGGGATCCTGGGCACACATGCACATGTGCCCGGCGTGGGTTTAAGCCACCAGGTCCGGGACTCAATCCACACTTGACTACATGAGAGTTCAGCGACATAGCCATTACTCCAACTGTTGGACCCAGGAAGCTTAATATATTAAAATGTTACTTCTGTTTATTATTAAATAATAACTCAACATCCAGTAAAAAATCACATAAATAAATAAATAAATATGAATAAACAAGCAAGCAAACAAACAAAAAAAACAACAACAAAAAGAACACTGCAGAGTAGTGCAATAAAAGTACCCAAATAAACTCAGAATATGGATGATTGGTGAATGGACAATGATATTCCTGATTGCTATACTTTTTATGAAAGCCTAATATATTTATTTACAAATTCTGTTGTTAATTATAACATATTTAGAGGAGTAGATGCATTTAGAGTGTGTCACAGTTTGTCCATTTTGATTCCATGTGAATAAATGTACATGTTCCTACTTGTCCAAATGTCCTGTAAGAATTATTATTCCATTGAAAGATCAGCAGAGAACTGACAAGCAGTATTTTCTGACATCAACTTCTTGTTTTAAGAAAACCTAATTGTCTTCATAGCAGAATGCTGTCATATGGAGAAAGTAATTATAAATAGGAAGCAGAAATCTCTTTCTTCCACTTTTTCTTTCTTGCTATAAACATACAAAATTTCATAT